TTAGTACGTGAGTGAAGAATATTGTAATGCTGAAATAATGGCGCTGTCATAAAATTAATATTTAGGATGAGAGGTAATAGGGGATTAGGGATGGTAGGTATAGGAATAAGTTCATAAGGAGTGTACGAAGAAAATATTGGTAGGTAAAAGGTCCTTCCAAAGCTGAAAGGCAACGAGTAATAAATACATAGATAAAAATTTTAAAGTTGAAATAATGTCAATTTGGAGGCGATTATCGAAGGACGCCATATAATTCCGATGGCAAATTTGAGTTTTAAGAGATACAATAAAAAGTAAGCGAAAGTAGTAATTACAGGATATGGAGACAAAGTAGATTGTAAATCACGTACAATAAAGAAATGCCCGAACTATGCACTAGAATATTATAAATTATGAGTTCAAAATTCCGAGAAAATACATGAAACAATTTTATAATTCTGTACTCCTCTATAATCCTCTGTGAATATCATTTCTCTTAAAAATTTACTGCTTCAATATAATAATTGCTTATTGTTTCTCATTGGACATATATAGCTTTTCACTACATCGTAAACTTTTGGCAGAGATCTTACGATTTACAGAAACTTAAGTTCGGGATTTTTAATTGCCATTGTTCTGAACCTGTTGATACCGACCGATCGAGTACTCGAATCCTCTTTGCAAGTAGCACAGGAAATCCCTGTCCCGTTAATGGGAGAACAAAGTCCCGAGCGCGACTTTATCCCAAGTTTTCCATTTTACTGCCCGTCGGCCTCGGAGTCGCTCGTAAACGGCGGCACCTATACAAACGTGACTCCTGCCGATACGGACACAACTATGGGAAACCTGTGACACACGCACCTTCTACAGAGTCAGACAGGCCTGCGTAAGCGTGGACAGCCGACATCGACGCTCTCTATCTCCTTCTCTTCCATTCTGCACCGCACTTAAGTAGATACACACATATGCGTACTACTGGTCAGACGTTTTACGGTTCGTCGAATCTTGAGGCGACGACCTCTCCGCCGAGGGCAAGTCCGGCGAGAGAGCCTACGGATTTTGTAATGATTCCACCTCGACGAGCAACAGCTTATCTGGACGTCGTGCCAAGGAGAATGAACGTAATTAAAGCGTGTACCAGGGTCAGAGAAAAATCGCGTATACCGTTTGATAAGGCAGTGTTGTTCGAATAAGACGAAAGAAGAACACATTTTTTTTTACACAGACGTGAGCAAAGTCCGATCCGTTACGTTGTTACATCCTTTCGTATCATAGTAAAAAGAAGAGACAAAATATTCTCTCTTTTGTTTTCTTTATTTCCCAAGAGGGACGATATTTATCTAGATTCCAGCCGCGCGTGTGTAGCCCGTCATCGTGCAAACAGTTCTCAGAGAATGCTGAAATTCCAACGTAGGTCTATTATTATTGTCTGTCCACGCGAGTTCGAAAACTCTCGCGAAGCAGAAAATCTTGCTCCAACGTCGGGGTAATATTATATGAAACGCGTAGCAAAACTCTTGTTCTCTTTTATATCGAGACGGCAAAGGGTCCGATTAAACCGATAATTATAATCGTAAGGTGCACCGGCTAACAAAGTTCACTGGAGTAACAGGAAATCCTCCGATGTTCACCGTTCATTGCACGCTCATTAAACAAATTACGTGGACTCGTATCCGGTGTCACACTTGTGCGAAGAATTAATTTTCGCGAGAAAAAGGAAGGAAGGGGCATTGGCCTCGGTGCAGAAAAGACGTAACGTGTATGAAAAGTATTCGTCGCACGGAAAATAACGTACACGTATCTACAGAGAGTACAAAGCTCGCTCGCGTATTCGCACGGATATAACGGAACGAAAGTTGCGACGGGAAAAGTTGGCCGAGCTCGTCTAACGATCGAGCACCCTCACCTCGCTATGGTTTTTTTTTCTCTCTCGGTTATTCGTTTATCAGGGAATCGTTCCGGCTGAGTTAACGCGTCCTATGTACTTCTTACTCTTTTTTCAAGTCCCGTTTATCCTTCTTTGTTCTCTAAGTTTCTCAATATATCTCGTAACTTCAATGAAAGGAAAGTCGAAACGCGATGATTTCATTTACGATCGGTTGCGCAATTAATGCCCTGACCGTTCGATGCATTAAATTTACACGGGTTTATTCCCGTTAGTCGACGATGCGTCCGCCTGAGCCTCCCTTCCAAGCCAACGAGTGACTGGACACGGACTTCCAACGAGCTTTCGACGGTCGTTGACTCTTTGAAGTTAGTCCGGCGAAAGGTCACACGAGGAGCGTGCAAGACATTCATCCGAGGTCGATAAGCTTTGAAAACGCGGTGTATTGCCTCGACACGGCAATAGAATTCAAATTGATTGCAAAATACGGGTGTTTCATCGCGAATCGAGGAGAACGAACGTATCATCGTGATGAGATCGCGTTCGTTGGACGTTATAACGAAACATCGAGACGATTTCGTCCTTCGAGTAACGACGAGGGAGAGGTGCAACATGTAAACCAGGCAGGGGGAAGAATAAAGAGAAAATCGGAGAAAGCGAAAGGGACGATGGAAAGGAGAGAATGGGAACGAGGTTGGGGAAACGGCGGCGGCAGCAGCAGAGAGGCTGAAAATGGGGTGAGGGCGAGGGAAAAAACAGCGGAACGAAGGGGTATGCAAAGAGGAGGCGATGCGATGCACGCGGTGGAGATCGATAATTTCTGTATGTACTCGCGACTCACCTCGTACACGTTCGGGTGCCAAACTTTCGTCATAAACCGAATGCTTGGTGGACTGTATGGATAATCCGGCGGGAACTTCATGTGTGCCTGGAACAAAAAAGACGTGTGCATCCGTCGATAATCGCTTCGTGTAAATTATAAAAGAGCGCGATTATTCACAAGTCATTTACGAATTGCTCGACGCGTTCAGAAAAAAAAGTTGCGGCGTCGTTTAAGCTTGAGAACACGCAGTCGCAAGGGGCAAGTGAATTTACCCGGAAAATATTGCGGGACAGGTCTATAGGATTCGATCCGTTTTGCTCATCGACGGGGGATCGAACCCACGCGTTGGAACAAAGACAATCGATGACCAATACTAACTTGGGACATAGGCCTTGAGAAAAATCAAGGCGAACCTGTGATCTACTTAAATCGCGAGGATGAAATAACGTTTATCTAAAGAAGAATTTGAAACGGCGAAATTATTTTCACACCGAATCGGAGAGCTATCGGCAGATCGATGAAACGAGAGTAGGGACGCGCGTTCCTTTCCCCGACGGGATTCCCGCTCGCGGTGATTTCGATAGAGAGCGAATCCATTTCGCACATGGGGCGTAGGACAAGGGTCGTCCCGACGCTGGCAAACTTTCGTCGATGCCAACGGGATGCTACATATTATTGATCGCAACCTGGTCATGGCCCAAATATTCGCCTCGTCCTCCGGGATCCCACCGCGTCCCAGAATTAACTTTCCATCGAACGTCTCTGTTCACTCTTTTCTGTACTGAGTCGGAATCGCGTCGATGGAGATCGCGTGTCGAATTAATTATAAATCGCGTTTCATTTTACTTTCAACAACGGCGTCGTCTCTGCTGTGCTGACTTTGCTAAAGTCTGTGTTCTGAAATAGACGTTCGCCACGGAAACTTAATCGCCAGTGCAACGACACTGCGACGACGGCGAGGCAGAATTACGTTAGTCATTCGATAGCGTAGCGAAAGGACAGCTGAATCAGTGAATTTCAAGTCGTTGCTCGTTTCTGTGTACCGAAGAGCACGTCGCCCGCCGTGACACGGGAAAATCGACCGCGCTATCAGTCAGTAATCTTGCACGACATCGGTTCAGGGATCGATCGTTTATGCAATTACACGGCTATTCCCTACCGTGTCGAGACGATAACGGTCTCGACAAAATCGCTAACTCACAGATTACACAATAAATCGAAATTCATAAATTCGAGTAACAAGGTGAAAATTAATAATGAATATCGAACGAATGCGGCACACGAGCGCGTGCACTTGATTCTTTAATAATGCACAGCTCTCGACGCGTGACAGGGACGCGTTACCTTGACGATACCGTAGCAGCGGAAAGTATTTAAAGAAGTTTCTGCGATTCATAAACGTATCACGGAATCGTTCGATCTTGTAAAAGGTGGACGTAAGGAAAGATCTTCGTGTAGGTTTATTCGATTGCATTCGCGGTGCCTATCAATTTTCTCGACCTATTTCGTACGACGTTACGCGTTTGACGGTCACCGACCACCCTTTGCCCGACGCGTCCTGGCTCCACGAACTTCAATTCAGGAGGATCAAGGAGTGACCTAAATCAGGAGGTTTCGCCTCGGTCGTGTTGGTGGTTCGACGAACGGGGTCACTCGATGTTACTCGTGGAATCTGCACGACCTTGCCCAATTTCTTGGGACTTGGTAATTTATCTTTGTGAAACGATGTCTAGGAAAAGAGGGCATGTATTTCATAAACTAAAGATAACGATGAAAAGGCGAGGGATTCTTCTGTACTGTTCATCGAGAACGTTGAAACGGGATACGTAGTTCGTAGGTGTCCTCAGTGTTTCGGGCACTCGAAATAACTTCGTTTCGCTTTACTCGCCGTACGCTCAAAGCACTGGCACTGGTAACTCGATCAAGTCTCAGCGGGTCAGTCATCGGCAGCTCGTATCGCTCGCGTCTACCTACGACTCTCCTTGCAATGTCTCGGAACTAATGTACTCATAAAATTGATGGAGAACAAATTGAGATCCGTGACGTATTTTACGATCACGATATCGAGCGAGGTGAAAGGATTAAAATCGGAGAGGTAGAAGACGATGGGAACACAGGCGCGGGAGACCTACTTATCCCTGGTACATCGCGACTGACCCGTTTATATAGACGACACGGTTTTCCCTGAGGAAAGAAATATCCGGTTCGTTCATCTGAGCCAGAACGGGACTAGGTGAAAGTCGTTCAGGTGATTCGAGGGATATTGGCCAAAGATAGATCCGAGACAATGTTCGATAGCGTTTTATGTAACTTGGCAACGCGAGCCGCGTTACTTAAATTCATCGTGGCCGATCGAAAGAATTGCTGACTTAACAATCAACACTGCACTGTCGCTTCCGTTCGCCTTGATCGTTCTTACAATTAGAATTTAGTTCGCGACTTCATTTACGTATCCTACAAATCGTCAGAGAACCTTGATTTTGGTTTGATTCGTGACGGACGAATCTTACAACGCATTTCATCACGTATTATGCCTGTCCCCCTACTCGTGTTTTATCTGTTGGGACGCAGCTATCGCGTAATGACGATTGCCACTCTGCAGCGAAGGAACGCATTACCTCGTCTATGATAATTTGTAACGATGCTGTTTACGATCGACCGGTGTTATGATTACGAAGCTAGCTAGGTAATGTCTCGCGGAACAGGATTCGAGGCTCCCACGTAGACACGGATCACGTGTACAGAGCGATACCATTCGCAAATAACGGTATAGCCGTGTCGGCCCTGTGCGGTGCCTCGTTGCGACCAGTTACAATGTGGGAAGATAGGTAATGCTCGCGTTACGTGAATAACCGTCTGTAAATTCGTAACGAAGCGGAGAGTGGTTTAGAAAGCGGACGCGGATTCTACAAAAAACAGTGTAACCGTGTGGCAACGGCAGAGAATTCATTTTCTAGAGGCCAGGATCGAGAGTGTGCAATTGCAAACTGCTGTCGCAACCATCCCTGTCGATTATTATTCCATGCTAACGGAGTAATAGAAACGGCTATTTCTTAATAAACACATAGAACCTGATCGTATGCGCGGCTTGTTTACAGAATTAATCATTCTGGATTTTAATTGAACTATAACTGTTATTCCGCTCGCATTAGTTGGAAAACATTTGTTGAACGGGAACAACAGTGATACTGCATCTCTCGAGATATATTATCGATCGCGCGATGCACGTGGAAAAATCCAATGGGAAGAGTAATGTATCACTGCAGAGATGTAAAATCAACGTGGAACGCGATCGATTCGGGTACATTGAGTAATCGTTAGTTTTCAGTGTTGCTCAACGACCGTTTAAAAATCATCGCTTGGCCAACGTACGCGGATACGTTCCTCAGATCGTAACGCGATCAGGAAAAGTTAGCGAATTTATAATGGGCAACCGCCGTCGCGCAAATCATGATGGGAGAACGCGATGTCCGATGATTCGCGCGTTGTCATCACTTTTAGTAGAACAGTTTTCCTGGTAAACGATGATCGCGAAAAGAATCGTAACGCGTTCAGAGATCGAACCGATCACTTTTAACGCGAATATAGATGCGTTTTAAGCCGGTGTCGATCGAAAGAGAAAACGGGGACCTAACCAAGAAAAGAAAAAGCGTAGCCCACGGTAATATTTATGATGGACAAGGTGAAAGTGAGAGAATTTCGCGTCGAGTGTACTAGTCGCGTCGGGGCATGCGAAGGCTAAGAATAATGCTAATAATTACCTTAAAATATCCTCCTTGGTAAAGGGTATCCGGAGGCCCGAAGATAGCCACTTCCCACTCAAACATGTTGTCCTCGTTAACGAGTTTCACGCGGAATCCTTCGACGGGTTCTTCTTGCAGACTTTTATATTCGAGGGCGAGAGCCCTGAGAGCACTGCTGGTTGTTTGTGCCATATTTCCGTTCTGGAGTTAGAACCGGAGGTCTCTTCCAGAGAAACGGAACGTCCCAAACCTCCTGAAGTGGTAGCACAGAACACTACAGTCGGACGGACGCCTTTGCGAACACTGCTCCCTTCTCGGAAGAATCAATTTCCAACGGGTTTCCAGATAGTTTTAAGCTTCTATACTACGGTTTCGCTAGCCGTTCTTTAAACGCCTAGCGATATTTCACTCGCGGCTGGATGTTTTTTTTCTATGACGATAGTACGATTTCGCACACCAAATAAACAAAGAAATATATGATCAGACTTACAAACTGCGAAGTGCAGTCAACAATACACCATTCCCGATGCACGCACCTCTTAACAAAACAGCTGACGTACCTTTTACGTCAGCGTCAGATTCGGCGCCTGCGCTATACGATATTTCTCTATTTTCCTTCCGCGTTATCGACGATTCTCACGAGAAAACGGATCGGGAACTCGTCGCCGTCGCCGACCGAGTCGACTCCACCGGTAGAAAGATCGCGACGTGTTTACTGTCAATTATTCTCCACGACGACTCCGACAACTGAGCTGGACGAGCTGGACTGAGCAAAAGTTTCGAGCGTGCCATTTAATGAACTTCCTGTTTCCCGATTGGAAGAATGTCCCTATAGTTACGTGACACAGCAGCGCCACAGTATGCAAAGGTGGCGGCACCGTCGGAGTTAGGAAAATGAACAACTCCGACCCGGTTGCAGGATTGACTAACTGAGAACTCGAAACTGTTCCGAACTTCAGATCGCATCATAGACCTATCGCTGCCTATCGCGTGCCCTTTTAAACTGTGAAACTCAATTTTATTTATAAGATTTGATTGAAGAATTTCTTATTATTCCTCGATGACTTAACGATCGGAGTATCGTTAGCGATATAGACTGTTACAACCGCGGTCCGACTCTCGATTCCCATGCCATAATACATTTTCTTCTGCAAGAAATTGTCGAGCTTGAGTAATCTTAAATTTCAGCCATGAGCATGAGCGCAATCACTTCGTTTGACTTCGTTATCACGGTCCACCGATCGCGGTTGCTAAGCAACGCTGGCCGCCGTGGCGGCCATCATGCGAACATGTGCGGATCCCACGCGCAGCGTCCTTGGTTGCAAATGTTTAAAAATGGTACCAAGCGAAGAATCGTAGCTACTGTCTGATTATCTAATTCTAGTCTATTAAGATTTTCTCAACAACGTTCTATTTCCAATTTCTCGCTTTCGTTTTTCGTCTCGTATCTATGTAAAACGTCAGCTCAAGCGCCGTTTGGATTTTGATTTTAAAAGCAAATCGATCGCGGCAGACATGCCAACTATCGTATCTCGTCACGTCATCACTGGCGCGGACTTTGGCGCGACCATTAGGGAATTCTAGTGGAAGCCGACATCGCGGCTCGGTTTGTTCGGCGTTTTCTCCTTCCGTCTTTGGAAGTCCACCCTCTCGCCTATAAGTCCACTTCATGCACCGTCCTTAACCATCGCCATATCGCCGTTCTACCAGCAGCTCCGTCATCGGTAGCAAGGGAAAGAACGAGGTCTTCCGTTCCGGCATAATAGTCGTGCGAGTTGGCAGACGCGCGGTTGTGTCCTACGGATTCTTTTAGCATTCCCGATAGAGACTCGCAGATACTCGCGGTTTACGCGTTCAGTGCTGTGATCAGTTCCTTCGCTCCTCGACCAAAATGAATGAAGAGTACGACGCGATCGTGCTGGGTACCGGATTGAAAGAATGCATACTCTCGGGTATGCTGTCGGTTAGCGGGAAGAAAGTCCTCCACGTAGATCGGAACAAATATTACGGTGGTGAATCCGCCTCGATCACTCCTCTGGAAGACCTGTTCGCGTAAGTTCTTGGTCGTATCCGTGTCCTGACCGATTCATTTTAACGCCAAACAATTATATACATATCCGCGCATCGCCGGCAGTACAATATCCTGCGGTTCGAACGACGTGTCGAATGATACGTGCGACTATTTATGATCCGTCTTAAATATTGATTTTTTCTCTCGTTTTTTCCTCCTACTGTTGATTACCAGCTCGGTCAGGCTCTTCCGTCGATCGCGTTGCGGGGAGAGCGTGACGAGAATCGTCACTCGCGATAATGCGTCGTTACCGTGCGATAGACTGCGAACTTTCATCCTTTTCTAAACAACTATATCGGAAGCTAGAACGGGACTTGATAAGAATCGGGGGGAGGGTCCCGCCCCGCGAAACACGCCGGATCGAACATCTTTAATTGGTTGTAATAGCATTTTAAGGAGTTTACGACAGTACTCCTTTCCGTCGCCCCACTTTGCCTTCACTCGGCTACACCTTCTCCTGTCGTTCGAAGGGATTATGCACATGTATCTGTCTAATCGCTGCGAAGACGAAAAGAACGTGTCATGAAATGCAACATCATCTCGTGATTAAGGATTCGGAGAGTAGAGAATACAAATTACATCGTTGACTTTGTTCGCTTCCACTAGAATTGAACATATGTTCACCTTCCTTATCGGACTCTCACTTTAGAAATCGTTTAAACAGACGACTTTATTTTCATTTTGAGTATCAGCATACTTCAGTTAGTAAATGAAAAATTTCGATCTTTTAAATAGTTTCAGTATTTAGGAATTTTTTTATGGACGAAACGAAAAGCTATAACACGTCCGCGTGATTCTCTGGCACGTCGGTTATTGAGTGCTCGGCTGCACTCAATAAATTGCAACGTGTATCTAAACTACCCATCTATCTTAACTACCGTTCGACTACGCGCTCTTATAATCCGATCTGGGATTGTTACTCATCCAATATAAGATTCTTAGAAACAACGTGAAAGCGAAAATGGGAAAGCTGTATTTCGAAATACACTGTTGAAGTTTCACTAAGAAGTATTGGAAAATTTTTACGTTATCTATCCGTATTTGTGTAACTCGCAATTATTTCTTAACACTTGTTATCGCAATCGATCGTTCATTATGTTAAAAGCAAGAAAGAAAATGTTCGCGTTCAGGAGAATCGTTGTATTCGTTAATCGTGTACGTTCTCCAGGAAATTCAAAGCCCCACCGCCGGACGACATTTACGGTCGTGGCCGTGACTGGAACGTCGATTTGATCCCGAAGTTCCTGATGGCAAACGGTTTGTTGGTGAAACTTTTGATCCATACCGGGGTAACACGATACTTGGAGTTTAAATGCGTGGAGGGCTCGTACGTCTACAAGTCCGGGAAGATTTCCAAGGTGCCGATTGATCAACAGGAAGCGTTGTCCAGCGATTTGATGGGCATTTTCGAGAAGAGACGCTTCCGCAATTTCCTTATGTGGGTGCAAAATATGCAGGAAGACGATCCCAAGACTTGGGACAACTTCGACCCATTCAACAATAATATGAGTGCTCTCTACACTAAGTTTAATCTCGATAAAAACACTCAAGATTTCACGGGCCACGCGTTAGCCCTTTATAGGTAAAGAAAAAAAACGATCAGTCATACATCTTCGAGATGCGATGTACATTTCGCTTACCTATCGACGACGTCGATTTCTGGCTGTTCCAGGGATGATGAATACATAAGCCAAAGCGCAATTACTACTATAAGAAGGATTAAACTGTATAGCGATAGTTTAGCACGTTACGGAAAGTCGCCATATCTTTATCCTATGTACGGTCTGGGCGAGCTTCCTCAGGGTTTCGCCCGCCTTAGCGCTATCTACGGAGGAACCTATATGCTCGACAAACCGATCGACGAAATTGTAGTTAAAGATGGAAAGGTAGATTTCGATGTTCTTAAACTTAAGAAGCATCGTTGGAAGTATCTCGTGATTAATTACTCGTGATTGTTTCCAGGTCGTCGGTGTACGCTCTGGTGACGAAATCGCCCAGTGCAAACAAGTATTTTGTGATCCCACATACGTACCTGATCGCGTGAGAAAAGTAGGTCAGGTCATAAGATGCATTTGCCTGATGGATCACCCGATATCGAATACGGGTGACGCGCTCTCGACGCAAATTATCATCCCTCAAAAACAAGTTAATCGCAATTCCGATATTTACGTATCTCTAGTATCATACACTCATCAAGTAGCTGCTAAGGGGTGGTTCATAGCTATGGTATCTACGACGGTCGAGACGACGAATCCCGAGGCTGAGATCAAACCCGGGTTAGATCTTCTTGGTCCGATCAGGCAAAAGTTCGTCTCGGTTTCCGATTATATGGAACCGACGGATAACGGTTTAGGGAGTCAGATTTTTATATCGACGAGTTACGACGCCACGACGCATTTCGAGACCACTTGTTTAGACGTTCTTGATATATTTAAACGGGCCACCGGCGAGGAGTTTGATTTTAACAAAGTGAAACAGGATCTAGGCGACGAGGATCAGTAACCGTAAGATGATCGCACGGTCACTGGTCGGTCTTGAGAACTAGTTCATCCTGAATTGAAAGAATAAAATGAGTGAGCAACGTATTTTAAATCGCGTACACCGACGTTGTATCGGTGTGTTCATCAGGAGTCTCAGAGCAGATGCAATCTCTCATTGGACTCATGCCTAATCGTAGATTCTCTTTGATAGAGAACTTTTCCAAAATGAAAACGCAGACATTATTCCACATTTAATTTTCAACGTTTGTCCAAATCTCACGTTCGATATTTAATTTTCAAATTTATCCAAATCTCATTCTACGAACTGCCCTTTTTACATTCTTTCGGAAAGTACAAAACGTGTACGAACTTTTTCACACCGACAAAATGACCTGATGCCAGGACTTTTGTCATTGGTCATCTGGATAATTTGAAAAACCACGAAATCCAAATTACTGTAGAATTTAATTATCATGAGGTACATCTGTGTATTTGTCATTGTCGTGTTTTATTGGAACGAACATGACGGTGTTGATTATTACGACTTTATAAATGTATCATATTTTAACTATCAAATTAAACAGTAAGGATAATTGTTTATTGAAATTGTAAATGTTAAAGAAATCCTATAGTTGTATTGCTAATTACAGTAGTCGAAAGGGCATGCGTTACGGTATGAGATAAACAGATAGAAGATAATTTAAGAAAGTGAATTTCACACGCAATTATATAAAAATAGAACGCCGTGATATAGTATTAGAAAATATATCGTACTTCTGCACATTTGATTATAATATTATTTGAAATTCCAACTACGTGTTAAGAAAAAGCACCCGGTAAATAACCTTCTGGTAAAGAAATGATCAAAGTGGACTTGTGTTGAAATATTAGAAGGAACGAGCGGCCAAGCATTTAAATTTAAATTAAATGAATATATATATGTATATGTATAAAAATCTACGTTCTCATTACCTGATGTATAGGAGTGAGAATATAGAAGAGGAATCGTTAAAATATTGTTATTTTATGTGAGCTTGAAAATCTGAACATTTTTTCGTCGTAATATTTATATGGAAACGCATTAATAAAAGACAAGTACGAGCACAGATATGCATTCTTCAAATTGCGATACTTGTGCACTTGTGTGTGCGTGAATGGGTTTCGTCAACGAATGATCGGCTACCTCTTAGGATTTTTATTTCGCTTGCATTTCTGCTTAGAAACTATAAGCGCACCGCGAATTCGTATCACATGAAATTTCTCGAACAAAAAGTACGTGATTCTTTATTAATTTAAAAGGTATTCACGTAACTGTAATGTGAAAGCCGTAAGAAATAAATTATACTATACTAATTTCATCAGTTTGTATTTTTGTCTCATGACGAAAATAATATTCGAACGTTTACTCATCGATAGTAATTTAAATTAGTTCTAAGACATAAATATAATTGTCTCTGCATCCAATGATAACGTTATCACGATCAATAACAGGTGATGAGAACACTTTCCCCGGGAGTTCCTCAATTTTCATTAGTCTGTTTTTCTTAAAGTCGTAAATATTTAAAGTCCCGTCTGTGCATGCTATCAAAAGAAAGTTATCCTCGCACCAGGGGGTAGCGAAGATTGGTGAATGGAAATTTAACACATATTTCAATGTAGGCTCGGTCTTGAAATTTGTATCCTCCGATTGTAGACAGTATACACTTTTATTCTGACTGGTTATTATAACAGTCTCATGTTCCCTAGCAGTGTCAATTTGTTTCACGAGGTATGAGAATACATTTCCATTAATTTTGTACGTCCACATCTGTGGAGAACAAACAACGAAAGGAATAAGAGTGATTATCCTTATAATGCAAAGAAATATAAGCATTACCTTGACGTTAACTTCGATATCGAAGCAACATAATAAGCCTGTTACGGAACAGAATAAAACAAGACCACCGTTCAGCCATAGAGGGGCTACAAAAATTGGGTCTGATAATTTGTACTTCCAAACAAGTTTTCCTGTCGATTGCTGGAGAGCTAAACACGATCCGTCTAGTGTCCCAAATAATACAGTATCGGATGGATAGTGCAAGCAGCCAGTGGCGTAAATGCTTCCATTACCAGATTTTAATTTCCAAACTTCAGATCCATCCTATGATGAACTAACGTTATTATCTCTCTACAATTAATGAAATGAATAATGGTACCTTCACGGATAAGCAATATATATAACAATCATAGGAACCAATGAATAGAATTCCTTTCTCATTGCAAAGAACTGCAGATCCTTTTACCACGTTGCCTGTGCGATGAACCCAAATAGTTTCCCCCGTTTTCAAATTAAGACAGTATATATTGCAGTCGTAGCATCCTACAAAAGGTATAAACTGAGACCATACGAAGTCGATCTGTATTAAAATATTTACCTACTACTCCCCTGAAATCATCCAGAACCAAAACTGAAGATTCAATTCTATCAGGTAGTTTGATTCTAAATGCAGAATTAAAATCACTTCCTAATTCAAAGGTGAAAATAAGACCGGAATGAGAACCAACCGTTGCATACGTTTTCCCACTAAACAAAATAAATGTTAATCGACTCTCAAGCTGTATATAAAGGCATGTATATTTAATACTTACTCGGAATAGTGAAACACCGTCGGTGATGCGTCTACACATTTTTCTGTATCATACTTTTTTATGACTTTGACTCTCGTAATTTCGTCGTACTGTAACTCATGTTTCTCATTGATACTACATGCATTAGTATACAATTGCCCTCTACACTTGTACCATCGGCAATTGTAAATCTCACTGGATGAAATGTTTGAATTATCATCTTGTTCGTTTGTATGAAAGTCTCTCGAAATGTCTGTATCTTCTATAGTAATAATAGTAGTCGAAGGCTTTTCCCCAGTGTTATAAAAATTATCATTTCTACTTAATACAACTCCTTTTATGTAGCTTAGAGATTCATCGATAGAAGCATCCGTTAAGAGCATGCTTATTAATCGAGGAAATTCCATTTGAAGCATATCTGACATAGCGTTTGATAACTGGAGTGCTACCACAGACGTACCTCCCAATTTTATGAAACTGCTATTCCCTCGTTGCAGATTATTTTCCCAAATAGATTTGAAAGTGCTTTCAATCCTTTGGAAATCGACATTGTCTACATCTTTCGTTACTTGCTTTTGTAAAAAGTCTAAGGAAATTTTCGAGCTAGATGTTAATTCAACATGATCCAAAAAATGAATTTTATCCGGTCTGTATAGAGGATCCAATTTGTTCAAACGTCTCATGATCTCGGTACCAAGATTCTGATCATTCCCGATACTTGTCCTGTCTTTCGCAGAGAAACATAAGTGCAAACGATGGCAATTATGATCCCATATTACATAGCAACTTTTTATGAAGTCTATTTGTAAAACAGATCGTTCAATCTCTGTTAAGTCAACTTTATTCCCAAATCTCTTTACAATGTTGTTCCTTCTCCCTTTATAAAATATCCTTCCTTCTCCATCGATACTAACTAAATCCCCAGAATCTCGAAATACTGGTAATTCTAAATCTTTAATATCTTCATCGTTCATCAGGCATATCCTTTGATCGCTTCCTATGTACAGAGAGCCTACACCCTTCGTTATTACTTCTCCAATTTCATTCCTAACTTGAAATAAGGTGCCTGATAATACTTGTCCCAAATAATGAGGATCAGACTGTTCATTTGTTAATTCAACTTCAGTAATACTAGCCCAGCAGGATACCTCAGTGATACCGTAAATGTTATAAATTTTCGTGGTATTACAAGGCTGCCTGGCTTGAGAAAATAATTCTAGTTTAGGAAAAGGTTCTCCTCCAAAAAGTATGACTCTCAGCGACGTGTTATTACTTAAAATAGTAGTTCTCAAACATTCAGATGGCCAGTTATACATAAAAACTGACGGTGTTACTTGCAATACAGTAATCTGACTTGAGTAAGCCTCTCTCAAGAGTCTGAAAATAAAGAATGCAAATGTTTATTCTTATCAATCTTATAGTTGTTTCTATGACAATGATGTGTACCTGTTAGGATTGTTTTTCAAGTCTTTCGAAACCATAAACAATCTCGCTGCTTTTGAAAGAGCTAAAAATATTTCAATGACGCTCGGGTCAAATGTGAAATTCGTAAATTGGCAGACTTTGTCAAATTTTGTAATTGACAGTATCCTACTTAAATCTAAGATATTTGGAACTATGCAAGAGTGAAGCACTCTGACTGTCTTTGGTGTTCCCGTTGAACCAGAAGTAGAAATTGCATAAGCATAACTATTTTGTTCATCGCTTCCTGTAACTTGTTTCTTAACATTTTTCAATTTGATGAGGTAAATACATTCGCTGTGAACCGTGAATTGATACACTACCTCTCCTTTAATATTTACATTCTTACAAAATAAATACTGTATATTTAAATCATATTTTAAATTCATCGACTCTGTTGTGCTGGAAGGTAAATTTACAAAACTGTGCTCGCTATTCAAGATCCTATAAAGAGATCCGAGTAACAAGGAATTGCAATATTTTATTACATCGATATTTAAATCAGATTGATTTTCTCACCCGACAATTAGAGGAATCACACAGTATTCAGGGATATCATAGTCTATACCAATAAATTCTGTATTTCGTAGAGATTTCAAGTAATCGGAAATAATATTTTTTGTAACATGAAGCTCTCTGTACTGTATGTAAATATTTTCTTGTAGATCGTGATATTCTATTGCTACGTCGTCGAGTTGATCCCAATTACAAATATCGTGTAACTTCGTTACAGAATTTTCGCATCTGGGATCGAATGATGAAAACTCTTTTCGAATATCTGGAATAGATTATGAAATATGAGAAGCTGGTTGCTTGGGGTTTAGCATGCCTAACTTACCCATTATTTACGAAACATCTTTTCAATGACTTTTATTTAATATCAAAACCTTTTTATTTTTGTTGACATTGAAACGAATTTTAAGATTCATCACGACTCTGCGGGTTTCGAAATGTTTCATTTGCACTACAGGTTATACGGCTGTACCTCAGGCAATTGCATACAAAATTCTATGATCTTTTATTTGCAAGGTGATTAAATTTTACTATTAAAAATGCAACAATTGTTTTATTTCTTTTATTAGATCGAAGCGTACACTGTCCATTTTACACTTATACAAGTAGATAGATTTTTATTTATCCATACTTTTATTTTCAGATTAATACGTAAAATATAATCTATTAATAATAAAAGAAGTTATGAGTCTTAATGATTTATTCTAATGTAATAGATGCATGATTTAGTTTATCTTTACATATGTGTTAACACTTTTAAGTTTGTATACAATACTATCCTAATGAAAGAAAGGACCACAATTTCATTTGTATTATTATAAAATTGAGATGCAATAGCTGTATTATTACCCAAACCTAATGCACCGTCAATAATTGGTGTAATCCCGGCAGATTGTAGTATATTAGGTGACATATTCATTAATAATTTTACACTTATACAAGTAGATAGATTTTTATTTATCCATACTTTTATTTTCAGATTAATACGTAAAATATAATCTATTAATAATAAAAGAAGTTATGAGTCTTAATGATTTATTCTAATGTAATAGATGCATGATTTAGTTTATCTTTACATATGTGTTAACACTTTTAAGTTTGTATACAATACTATCCTAATGAAAGAAAGGACCACAATTTCATTTGTATTATTATAAAATTGAGATGCAATAGCTGTATTATTACCCAAACCTAATGCACCGTCAATAATTGGTGTAATCCCGGCAGATTGTAGTATATTAGGTGACATATTCATTAATACAGTGAACCGAATTAATTTTTTTAATAATTAGCCATTGATGATATTTATTGTTGTGTGATGTACTACATTATACAACGTTACACCAAATATGTTACAAAATAATTTGGAAATGAAATATTTATAAAATTATTAAAATAATAACGGAAAGATGTGATAATAATGGGAAAGATGTTTAACATTGAGATTTAATTTAACAAACGCAAGACTAAACGTCCATGAACACGTTTTAATCTATTTCTCTTCACACCATTCATTCTCTTTACGAACTTGTTCCTCCTCAGAGGCAGAAAAATCGTTCTTTATATTGAACGTTTTACGAATCTCTTCAGGTGTTTTTCCTTTTATCATATTAGCGACAGTTTTACATGTCACATCTAAGAGACCCTTGATATCGAGATAGTTAGCTGCCAAAATTAATTCGAATAGTGTCCCTTGGTCAACCTGTAATTTATTGGAACATTTGCCAATTTCCATTTCATCCTTTTTACAAATTTGATATTCACCTTCAAGAAGTCTGCATCCCAAGAGCTTATGTCGTCCGTACGTTTCTCTTTATTCTCATCATCTTCCGGTGGTGGAGGATCATCCTTATGATATGTGGCCCACTGTATCACCTTTCTGAGAATAGCTGAATTAACGTTTGGTAGAGGAACGACTTCATCCTCGTCCTCGTCCATTCCCAGATCTTCCAACATCGTTTTTATAGTAACTGAACATTTCGCGATATCGACGTCCACTTCGAAAACTTCGCTGTCCGAACTTTGGAGTTTGATGTTAGGCATCTGAAAAGAAATTATTTCCTTGCTGTACAAAACACCATTCATTAACCTTCAACAGAATGTTTCGCACATCAACAAGATATCTTCCTCGAGCGACTATTTCTCTCCTTGGCGTGTATCAAGAATAATGAATTAGATATTATTCGAGGAATATCTTCGAAGCATTTCTCTTTCATTTATATTATAGATAGTACGATCAAATTTAAAATATTTTCAGGGATAAAAACTGCACCTAATGCTAACGACATTTTCTCGTGCCAAGTTCTGATATACAAAATATTGACACACAGCATGTAGTCACAGAGAAAACATCGTATCTCAAATATCGCGAAATGTTTGTATAATTACCGTGAAACCCTGAATCCGGACAATGTAATGAAATTTGTATCGAATAATTTGCTACCGTTCACCCGTAAAAGCAGAAGGTTCTTGTTCTGTTTCGCTCTTTCCTCTATCCCCTTGTTGTATTCTTTCGCACTCGAAGGAATGGTCGTTTTCTATCGGTTCAGCTCCTCTTTGTAGCGTTATGGAGAGAAGGGGAACGTAAACTTCGTAGAGCGTTTACAGCCGACGTGAGAGGACGCCACAATGCTGATATTGATGCACAATTTTTATTTTATTTATTCTACAATACTAAAATTTCAAAATTATATCATAAATGCCTAAATGGTTTGGATACAGAATCAGTAGATACTTGGGACTTTCGGAAACTTTATACAGCTCTTGATGAAATTAAAGAATCATTAAAGAGTGTTCATTGCGAGCTCTTAGAGTGTGAAGCTGTATGCATAGGAACCTTTTACTTCCTTTAATACTGAGGGTAGTCTATTTATTTATTTATTACACAGATTAAAAAGATCTTTATATACATGAAAATATACAAGGAGCGGGAGAATTACAGTAGTAGATTGTAGAAAAAGTTACAAAGTCAACAATAATAATTGACGCCGATATTTAGAAATAACTTTCATCCCATCTCCGTGGCGCCTACGAGAGCATCATTGGATATGGAAATTATAAAGAAATTAGTAGGTATTGTATTGAAAAAATGATGTAGTAATTCTCCACCGTGATAATCCTGCGATTTTCGTTGCACGATAAAAATGAGAAAGAACGTGATCCCCTTGATTTATAAAATTATGCTCTAGTATTACTCGAGCGATTCTCTCCCAAGAATCTGTGAAAGTCGGAATGCATAAACGAGAAGTGGGTCCATACGAGAGAGGGTTGCTCGGGTCTAGGCGCCAGCAGCCTACGCACGTTCCCTCAGCCTTTGCTCTCATAAGTCTCTCCTTCACCCTCCCTCATCCTTCCCTTTTTTTTTATATCGGCTGCTTTCGTTGCTATAAGTACTAGTGATGAAAAGCATTATACTTTAGTTTATTTCTACCCTCTCATTCATTCCTTAATCTCCTCTTTTAAAATATTCAGTTTCGTGAAATATGAATTAGCAATTTTTTTTCCTAGTATTCGTTATGTAAATCACGTTTCCTCTCATTACATGGCTGTTGTCGAGAAAGTTCTGAGCAACGTTGTCCCTGGCTCAGGCAATTTGATTGCTGTTTCAAAAAGTTTCCTCTCCGATCGATCCATCGAATGTGAAACCGCGGGGATAGTTTTATTACCAATGCGTCGAAAGGTGCATTAATGCGAGTTGGCCCGAAGCAGGAAAAACGAATTTCACGCACGTTTCAACCAACGACCGAATGGCATTTAAAAGTTCTCGAAAAACATTATATTTTTTTACGATGTCCTGTGGAAAGAAAAACAAAGTACGTTCATTTCGCTATGAGTGAAATGTTAAACTGTCGGTCATGATAGCGCGGAAAAAGATCAAGCCTGACAATGGAAGCTTTCGGGGTAGTGAGCCTAAGGGCTGAAGCAAAAGCAAGGAAGGGTGGCTGAACAGAAGGCGCCAGGTTGCTTCGAGATCGCCCAAAACATCGATTACACGCTTTAAGAGTTAAATCCTTGACTCTTGCGTTTAAGTGGAAATTTACTTTCCATTTAATGATCGTTTCATTGTATCCCGAAGTCTGTGCAGTTTGCAATCTTTCCCAGTTTAACGCGCGATTACGTAAATATTTCCTGTACCGATTAGACGTTCCATTAAGATGATCAATGTTTAAAAACCGTTCGAGCATAAGATCACTGCTAATTAACGAAGCTGTAAAAGTTCGAGGGAGGAATTTGTATTTGATTCAGGACAGAGAAAATCTAACTTACGAGATTGTAAACCTTGTATAACCGTTAGAAAAGGCGATTGCAATCGTAATAAACGTTAACGAGTTGTTAAGTTAGTCTTTGCTTTTCTTTTCGTAAACCACCAATTTTCGTAACCGATCCAAATGCGTTTCAAACGAAATTGGCTCTCTTCGACTCACGATTTCAACAAAGATCATCGAGCCAGAAATTGGCGAAAGGGGGTAATGAAATCACGAGAACGTTTCCTGTGACGCACGTCGATACAGCTAATCCGCGGTTCGTAATAATCGCGGTGATAAATGCCGAATTACGCGGATCTTTCGCCTCGAAGGCGCCACTCAACATCCTCCATACGTCTTCAAAATACGCTTCCTCTTTTATCTTTTAATTTCTTTGCTCTCTAGTCTCGCTTCTGTCGAATAGACACAACGGTAATTGCAAATTAATTGCCGTTATTCACGATGATTATTGCCGTTCGCACGCTTTTTTTCCCGGATGCACCGCGCAAAACCTGCGGATAAGAAAAGTCATTACGATTTCATTGACCTGACGACTGTGTATTTCAAGAGCTAATTAAACGAGACGAACCGAGAGGGTCGGGCCTGGCTTCTTATCGTACAGAATGGAATGGACGTCGACCAGGAAAATTCCTTTAACAACGACTCGACAATAGAGATGTTTCTATTACCGGAGACGTAGCAGTTATCTAAGGAAAAAATCTAGACCTAAATACAACAGAAGTGGCGCTTAACCCATTCAGGGATATAGGGATCGTGAACGAGGTTGAACGGATGTATGACATTTGTTTTCGCTTTTTCTGTTACATTGTGAACTTTTCTTCCCATGCGAGGAAGCGAGGAGGAGGAAGAAGGAAAAGCGAACGACTGCTTTTTCGCATTAAACAGATACCTGCCTGCCAAGTCTTGCCTGTCGTTTTTAATGAGATCTACGCGGGCGTTGCGAGTTAATTATTCCTCAAAAAAAAAAACCCTCGGTTCTGTAATTCTTGTGTTCGTCAACCATCGCCGAGAGGTTCCTCGAGAGGTTTCGAGATTGATATCGAGTTACCATCTTATTATAAACGTTTCGTCTCTCGAAACTTACTTATATTCACAACTACTGATTGATCGGATTCTTAGTTGCTCGTATATGTAACACCATCGTTCGCCTCTTTCCCTTAAATGTCGATTAATGAAATGAAATGCTAACTGATCAGGTTGATCGATTGGATTCTGGGCTTCTCCTCGTGCACCGTGATGAACGAGAATCGGAACAATGCCTAGGAAGACGTAAGAAGAAGGGGAGAGATGGGATTTCTTTCGGTCGAATGATTCAACGAGTATTTTAATACATCAAAATACAATGGCTATGACCATTGGGTGTGCAAATACGAAATGAATTGATATTCGAAGAGAAAGTAATCTCGCTTCGGACAGAGTAAATAACGCGAACGAAGTGCCACGAGTAGAGTTCGTTTAAATTAGTTGATCAACGAAAATGGGCATTCCTCCAAGGACCGCAACACGTGCCAAGATAACTGCCCATCTAAAATACAGCTCATTCATAATCTTACCCTCAACGTCGATTTATCAAATTCGAAAACGCTATCAAATCGTTCGATGCATTTCCTGTTCGAAACACTTCTAAATCGGGTGGAGAGAAATCTATATAGATTTTCTGTAAATCGAAAAGTACTTTTATCCGCGAGATTGAAATTATTGCCAGAAGAAATGACTCGAAATAGTTTTGAATTGGATCCAATCTTCGCAAAACTGATTTCGAACGAAGAGTTCACGCCAAGCTTAATTAAATGACATCGTGTTCGAGGACGCTGATATAGCAATAAATGAAATATCGATACGTATAAACGTGAGACGAGATACGTATAATGCGAGACGTGCTCGCATGCCGCTCGGAGGTTTCATTCATAGAAGTCCATTCATAAATCCGACGTAAGACGTTCGCCCGTACGAAAAAACAGTTTTTCATCGAGATCGGCGATTTTCGACGACGGGCTTCTCGTGATATCATCTCCCGCGGGGTGGAGTCCGAACCCAGTGACGTAATGAAACAGAGGGTGTATCATACACACGGGGCGGCCGTAATAACGTGGAGGAGGAACAAGTCGGTGGTGTTGGTACCAATGGTGGTGAATACAGCTTTGAATCTCTTGGTGGTACAGAAGAAGAACGTGGAAGAGGGGTGAGTGGTCGCAGTATAAATGTGGCCCGCGCAAGCTCCACCAATCACTCGCCCTCTGACCTCCAAAGTCCAAGCTCTCGCGGTACCAAACACCCCCTCTTTGTTCGTACGATCAAGAGACAAGCCAGTTTCGGCAGCGAGACTCGTGGCCTCGTGACCACCTCGTGGGTGCCATCTGAATCATCATCAAGACTTACAGTTAACGTCTTCGGGAAAGTTGCTCCAGCCGTCGACTGACTCATTTCCTGGACTTGCGATTACTTCCTCCGTCGCAAACATGACATCAGTAAGTGTAATCGTCAAAATATTAATTATCCGTTACTCCTCTCGTGTATACGCGGTTTTAAATTACAAGTGCGACGTTGAAACTTTAGGCAATTCATTAGCCACGTGTTCCTAGTTTAAAGTCGCCTTCGGTTTAGGGACAGAGGCAAAGGAAAACAGAGGTGTGACGTGTATCGAGTTTAGATCAAATATTTCGTTTCCTCAATTTTTCCCCGTAAGTGACGTTAATGTTACCGGTGCCGAGTTGTTTAGGACGAGAATATCGCGTATAGCTAGTTGTCTGTAACGAGGATCCTTGGGGGAAATTTCGGAATATTTAACGATTTCCATACCGGCTGTTATAGTCTATTATAGGTAACTAACACGTGTGACATGACTCGTTATACTCGAGAGGAGCACGTTCCCATCGTTTCACATTAAAGTTGACCGTGGAACAGATACATACCATCGATACAGTCGTAAAGAGTCTATCTCTAGTTACTCGTAGTCTTCATAAAAGTTTAGCCAGGCGAAGCTATCCTTTGCAAAACGTTTAGTGAATTACATTAAAGCCAGTATATTTTATGTATCTGCAAGATCTGTCCGAAAGACTTTTTCCTGGGATCATCATCGAAATGTAACAATTACTTTGCGAAGGCGGTCGACCGCGTCCCCCTATAAATCTGACATTGGATAAAATTTATTGGGCAAACTTGCAATTCCAAGGGACGTGTCTATGGCCAATTTGTTCCTTGTTGTATCTCCTTGTTTGCTAGACGACCATCGACCAGAGATAGATATCATATTCTCAAGATAGAGACATCGGAGCCGTGTTTAATCCAACGTATCGAACGGTCATGTATACGCGTGCATAAAATTAACCGAGAGAGTAACTTTTCATAAGCTCAATTACGAACGACTCTGTTTTAAAACTTTTGCTGATAATGCGACGCGCGACGGTGATTGATCGCCGCGGAGGAGTGTTTGAATATTAGTGATCTCTCGCACTTTTTATTTGATTACGATGTACTCCTTCGTTCCCGCCGTCGTAACAGGACGAACCGGAAATGACGTCGTTTGAAGTTTATTCGTGACGAGGAAAAGAGGGGTTCATTCGATAGAGTCGTAGATACTCGCGTAAACGCGTACGCGGAATTTGAGAGTGCTGGGAGTGAAATGTCTCTCGGTGAGATTCGATTGAAATGAATTCGCTAGGGAGGAGACCGCGCGACTAGCAAGGATTTTGGACATCCGAGTCGTTGAAAGGACACGACGCTGAACGATAGAGTAAAAACGTAGTGGCGAAGAGGGGAGTCAGGAGGATGAAGAGCTTTTTGTATGCCACCAGACAGAGAGTCGCCAAGACGTCCCACATACGAGACAGGAGTTAAATCGTGCGTTTCTAGCTTTTCCCCTACTTATTTTCGTTCGCGTACACTTCGCCCTCGTACATCCCTCTCTATATGATTATTTGCGATCGACTCATATTTCTGTTTGATCTCTCCAATCGGCCCCGTGGATTAGCGGCTCCAGATCAAATGTAAATAACTGATACTTTTCTGTAGAACGTGTCCACTTTGGAATTACTGTATCTCTCGAGCAAGCACTTTAAACGGTGTTAAATTCTCCTGTTTGCATACGAATTTCTCTCAAATCTTCCCAACGTAATTGCTTCCCCTAGTAACCACAAATTGTAGGACAAAGTAGGACAATGAAGAGAAGGTACAAAAATTGGAATGCTTAAAGTATAATATTAATACGTTGGATTTTAAAACGAAGCAATAGTAATTTAGCAGACTTTTCGGTTTCATTCAGAGATAAAAAGATTGAAAAAATGTAGCGTGGGTATTCGTTTCCGTTCAAAACGAACGGTCCGTTTTTCATACTGCAAACAGTGCACTTTTCTACTAATGATCGCACAAATGTAACGAGAGGTTCACAAGGAGGAAATCCAATCCTGTATGAAAATGAAAAACAGGAATAATCAGCGACTAAAGCGAATCTATTAATTCTCAAATATCGATAACACAATTTGCTGTTTTTAATAAATATCAGATATCGGAGATTAACGAATCTCTGTTAATGAACAGAGATGCACTTTTAAATTGTTGTTCGATATTTAGATACTTTAATAAGCAGATAGTTAGCCTCAAGCAAAACGTAAAGCTCGAATGACGAGTGACTCGGGAGAAACGTTTAAAGATTCGCCCACGTATCTTATTAGACCGTTTCAGCCACCGCGCTAAACTTACATATCACTATGTTAACAATTTTCGATTAGTCGATATTGCACGGCGAACCCATGCAAACAAAGGTTCCACGAAAAACGGGTAATTGATATCGTCAAAGGGGAAAGACCGAGCGACTTACTGCAAAACCTACGCATAAATGATATTTATTCCCCTCGATAATTAATATTTGACTGAAAAGTCTCGGCGTCTACGTGAAAGTAAAGTCTATACAATTTCGTCGTCTTAAATTGGAAAACAAAATAATCTCCCGGAGTAGAAAAACGTTCTGAACAACTTTGAAGCTAACACTAAACCTACCGGAGCGGTCAAATGACCGCTTTTCAGATTATTTTCTATCATATTACTTAAGGATGTATTGGCTGTACAGTCAATCCCAAAAGTTTACGTACCTTAGAAAAACGCATTTCCTATAATTGAAAANGCCTATGCTAAATTCTGTATTATCTATAATCAACTGGAAAAGAATATAATGTTTATTTGAAAAGCGTTGCTTTGATCGCCATCGATAGAAATAGATGTGTAAAACGTCGGTAGGTTTAGTGTTAAATATCTATTCGATGAGTTTTAATGAGATTGTCTAAAGTACAGGTATACACGTTGCCACGGCGACGCGGAGTATTTCTTAATGAAGAAATATAGACGACAATGCCGGTAGCCGCGTTAACAGCGCGATACAACAGCGGGTACAAAAAAAGGTGAAAAATTACGTAGGTGTCCTACGTTCCGAAGAGCGCGTCAGCTTTTCTCAATTAAAACCCACGGATTCCAACTTACATTTCGAGAAGCGAACCCTCTGGTCTCGTGTTCCCAAGATTATTAGTACCAGCGCGAAACGGAAAATATAACGCGATATATTGCCGTCGCGAATGAACGGCGTCGTAAAAAGCCTGTTTCCGATTTAATAAATGCCCGATTCCTTAATAAGAATTTTTAACGGACGCGGAACGTCCCTGGCAAGTATTGACAGACCGGTTCCTACAACAAGATCGATGTACTCCTCTAGACGGTTCTCACGATGGTTTCACTAATTCGATTGATACCACTTTTTCGGTCGTACACCGTTGACCAATTTGCATAATTTCTGCAATTGAGATTGCCACCAATTAGCTAAAATTAATCATGTGCGACACGCGGTTTCGTCACCACATACTATGTGCCCATATAGCCAATTCAGTGGTTCCTTTGACAAATTCCAAATTAATGGGACAGATGGCTAGAAACGAAGCAGCTTGTTTTCTTATACAAAAAACTTCACTGCAATTACGACTGTTTAGTTCTTCCTTAATTGATCATAAATTAAAACCAAACGCCTTTTGACGAAGAAGAGAGAAAAGATTCTAACGGAGGTATATGATGGTACGTGCGCATCTACTTTGTCGAGATGATAGTTTCAATCTTCAAAGATTCTTCAAGAATACATTAAAATGCAAAACGGTGAACATAACTCCGCCCTCGTCGTACGGTTTTATATCTTGATTACATGGAAAATCGTTCGAAAGAGCACCCAGAGGACGCGTTAAGGATTATCATCCCGTGTAAACCCAGGGAACGTCTTGAGGCTCGACGTACCGTTTCACCGATAATGATCAAATCATCTTTCGCGATTTTTTTATCGGACCTAGATAATACGTGTACGAATGCGCGAGGGGCGAACGCTCCGCGGAATCGAATCGCGTCGACACATATCCTGCCGGTAAGCAGTAGACGCGAATTGGAAATTGATTAATTGACTACGATTGAGACGATCAACCACGAGTAAATTGCTCGGAGGCGCGTATCGGTTCAAAACAATAAATGTCGTATTCGTTTCGTCCATTAGGGAAAGCAAGAACGGCGAACCGCAAGTGTCTGATTTCAAATTATAATCTCGCTGGATGGAATCGATACGAAACTTCCAACTTTGATTCGCGATTCGTTATAAAAATACGATGCTCCCTTATACTTATTGCACCCTTAGCGAGAGGGTGTATTGCGATTCCGATACTTTCTACTCGAAATATTTTGCCACAAATAACGAAACAGCGTCTGGAAAAGAACGAGGTAGCACAAATTAGGTGATACACCCACGAACAAGTATCCCCTTTGCCTCTATCAAATTGAAAATAAATGGAAATCTGATATCGATTTTTAATGAAATCGTCCGACTGACAATTCGGACACAGAGACATGTAGAATTCAGTAACATATTTTTAAATCCCCAGCTCGTGGTATTCGTCCAACGATGCATCGTCCTCGTCGCCGTCGTACTGTGCTACTTCCATGTCCACGGGGAAGAAAGCGTGAATTGCGAGTGCGTATCTTTTTAAGAGACTCCGCGAGGAACGAGCTCTGATCGTGCAATCTCTTTTTCGTAGAATGTATCCGTATCACCACACCTGTAGGGGTACAATGTCGAGGAAACGTGCAATGTTTCCGATTACGTATGGATCGGAGTGCGAGGGTAACGAAGGAACAATAAATTGCATTCGGGAGATCGAAGAGAGGCGTCGTACTTATCCCTACGTTACGCTGTCGAAGTCAAAGCTCTTGGCCGCTCTCCTTAATAACGTATGAACATCAGTTAAAAGGAAAAGAATCGTAGGACCGATCGCGATACAACAAACCATCGTTGAATTGTTCTAGGATTTACAAAAGGACATTGCGCGATCTGTTCGACACAAGTTAAGGAACGACGAAGTGGACGAACGAAAGGCTTTGATGGAGAATTTCTTATCGGAACTGGAATCCTCGGACAGCTATTAAACGAACTAATTTGGAAATCAACAGTCGTTCGACCCGCGCACTTTTTCATACTTTTCGAGATGTATACCTATTCGATCCTTCTTCCTGTGAATGTGAAACAAAACTCTGTACCCTCCTTTCTAAATATCTTTCTGCTCTGTCGTCATTCTCCTTATTTTCTTTAATGTCTCAATCAGATTAAACAATTGTATCCACGTTGTCAACAATATACATGTTTTGTGGCATAAGAGAAGTACATTTGAAATTCGAATCAACGTCCTCCAATTATCCTTACGGAAAAGAAAGTACGGAATTAAAGTGTTGTACGTATCTACTCAATGTATGATTAATGTATATGTAAATTCTTGTACATATGAATATAAATAAATTTCAAACAAACATCACAAAACTGCTTTATGTGTTTGAAGAGAAATTCTATTTAGTTGACACGTTGGCTCTTTAACGCTAATTTCGTGCATTCTTGTTGATGTATACCGTTGCAATCCAGATGAATCCTAACTAAAATTAAACAATGACTCCTATCTCTGTCGTAGAATCTTTGAACCCTTTCGAAACGTCACTCGGCACGTGGAAAAACTTAAACATTTCTATTGAACTCAATTATCGACACGAGTTGAAACACATTTCCACATATTCAAAAGAATTCTGGGATGTTGAACACAGAATCCACGTGCCCACGTGTCTTCGCATGCGCATACAATCGGTAAAACGATAGAAAATAAAATAAACTTGCTTCCTTTTTTAAGAATTATATTTTATACCATTAGCTAATAATAAAATAAAGATTCAAAGTAACTCCTCAATGAACGGGTTCGTAAATACTCCATTAATTTGAGGAACAATTTAATACCATGATACCATTCTAATCTTTGACTCAAAGGTTCTAATGATATTGTACATGTTAGATGAATCGTTACCGGATGTGAAAAGTTTCTTTAAAACAATAATCGAACTCAGAGAGCTCTACGTTCTTTAATTAGATATAAAAAAATGGATATCATTGTTAAAACAATTCTAAACTATAAATGCAACCGCACGAGAACTCTGTTTCAGAGGTTATACAAACGATCGTACTACACCAGCAAGAGCAATTACTCGATTTTTAACAATGAATTTCGAGGCTGTCCAGGAAGATATTTTTTATCGAGTAATAGACACAAGAGCAGTGCAGTTAATGAACCCTGTAGGCAGAATATAGAGAAATGCGAGATCACGATACCTGAACATAAAATCATACATAGCTACTTGCAAAACTCGAAGTATTATGACAATACAATCATGTCGCCGATAAGAGCAACGGCGACAGTTACATCCGAAGAAATCGAGGAGCTGTACAATAAACAATGGCACAATCAATCTGTGCAAGACATAATGAATGACATGAAGAAACTAACGTACTGCCATTTATGCGGCTCGCGTTTCGAGAAATCGCTCGTCGATTCCATACTGCAGGCTCTCACCCCAAAGCTTTCGGAATTGGATAGCGACCAGATTAAAACACTGATGCAACATTTAGTCGCGTTAAAAGATGTAATAGAGAGAGATTATATTTCTAGAAGGTTTTTCAAGGCGTTGGACAAGGAATGTATCAAACATTTCTTCAAGTCAAACGTTCAGGAAATGTTATTGATAGTAGACGCATTTTATCAGCTTCAGCGTCACGAGTCTGATTACTTGTGGCGTGCAATAAGGAAGCTAGGCAGTAAATATTACAAACTATCTGGGAAAGAGCTGGTTCAGTTGTTATTTGTTATAAATATACCTATTGGACCACTGGAGATAAACATGTTTGAAATCGAATGTCGCCTGGAAGACTGTATTGAAGACCTTACTGGAGATGAGATAGGTATAATAGCAAGAGGCTTCTTCTTACAAAAAAGGAGCATTAGAAACAGGAACTTAATGTCAGCTATGTTGAAAAAGCTTACTACATGTCTCAATCACATGGACAGCAGTAACGTTGCGTCAGTTATGAAGATTCTAAGGTAAAGAAATAATGTCTTGTATGTAAAGAATATTTTACTCTTGACTAATGTCCAACTATTGTAGATATAGTGAAACTCTGTACTGTATGCTTGAAATTCAACAATTATTGAAAGCGTTACATCCAGAAATACCGAGAGTATCGTTGAGATGTTTAACTCACATAATGCATGCGTTGGGAGGTATACGCATATACGACGAAGAGTTGATAAACAGCATCCTAGACAGGTAAATCGGGGAATATGAAGAGGGAGTAATAAACTAGTTTCTAAATGACACTATTGATCCTTAAGGGTAATAAATGAGATGAAACAAGCGAGATTGAAAGACATTGAAAGGATCATATATGGTATATGTGCAGTGACACCCTTCACGAATTATTACACCGACGTGTGTCACAGGCTTATCAATGAAATAATGATGAGCTATAAAACGTATAGGATGCACGAGATTAACACGTAAGTTCTTACACGTTCGTTATCCTGATTCTCTTTTTTATACATCGTACATTAAATACAGGTATCAAGTATGTTTCGTACGTATTCTGAGCTTCTTGACAATTAAGAACTTGTACGTGCCGGAATTGATCCAATTTGCGTTCGAGCCTTCGTTTGTACAAAAAACGTACAAGAGTAATCTACGGTTGTTGACCAACGAATATTTAATTTTACACTGCTCGATTAAGATCGAGTTGCCTTACTACACTGGACCGCTGTTGTCAGAGAAGCTGTACGAATATTTGACCAAGAAATTTAGCTATTACGACGACGTATACAGGAAAGACAACAACGTAAAATTGAGGACTGAAATCGTATTTATATGCAAGGTACTCCGACAGCGTCGTAGAACGAATTCTAAACGGTACAGGATACGAGAACATGTAATTGTTTCAGAACAAACTGGGATTGAATGTGAGCGTAGACTACATTTTACCGCATTATGCAAATAAAGATATCATTTTGGGTCTCGACGAGCATGACAATCCTGTCGACGTTGAACCCATTCTATCAGCAATGCCTCCGGCTTCGATTAAAAGTATAAATAGCAATGAGTTGCAAAGAATCAAATGGAAGATCATACTGGCAGTACCTAACATAGTAAACGTGATGGGTCACGATGGATACATCGGGAATGTGCACAGAAAATACAGGCAGCTTAAAACTATTGGCTACACGCCGATCGTGGTAATTTTCATTATAACGATATTCCAATTTGAACGCGACAATACAATTGTACAATTTTCGCAGATTGCTGAAGATAAATGGAACTACCTCTCTCAGGAGAATGAAAAAGAGAATTATTTGAGGCAATTGATTTTCGAAGAGACTAGTCACAATTTATCGAAGACGTAACGTGTTTGGTTTAGAAAAATAAATTGCCGTGAAGGAATAAGATATTCAATGAATTCGAGCACATTTATTTAGTCACGCCATGATGTAAAAAAACGATATACACAATTTCTGCTACGATCATAATTCCAATCTTCAGCTAGCCTCGAAAAGATTCAGCATGAATCTTTTACTATATTCATATGTTACAAATAATGTAGCTGTTGCTGGTATAGTTCTTATCAACGTCGGTTTTAAACCGTTATATAAGGAACTGATACCTTCGTTTCTGACAATATCTCTCATAACTGTCAACGCCGGAGTTTTTATATTTTTTATCTTGAAAGTAAGAAACACGTTATTCGTTCGAACTAGAGTAGAATATGTCGATTAGATAGATAGAGAATGTCACGAACCTGTATCCTACTTTTAACTACGTCTGCTGGAAATATTACAAGCCACAACACAGTCCCTCCGACAGCACCAGCTACCATTGTCTTTTGCCATCCAATTTCATCTCTACTTTGGTTCGGTTTTGCCAAGAGTTCTCTGGTAACCTCATAGCCACCGAAGAAAAAGAAGTAACCGGGCATTTCACGTGCTATCGTCGACGATAGACCAGTAAAAAAGCCTCTTATGCCTTGTTCCTTGAGAATTTGGCTCGTCAATCCCCACGGCCCAATTTGCTTCTAAACAATATACGGATCTCCTCAATACTCGAGCTCTCGATGATTTTCGTTCTCTTAATTACCCCGATCACAGCTACCGATGATTTTCCTTGGATCGTATCCATTTGAACTTCTCTTATAGCCTGTAGCTTACACTTTACAAGTTCCGTAGGACACAAAGTTAATGAAGAGAAAAATGCAGCAAAGAATCCGGCCCATGCATTGTGAATCGATGTCAGGTCCTCTACTCTCTGTATACCTATTTTAAATCCATTTGTTTAAATCGTTAAAGATTTGAATGAACATATCATTGTAATACCTAAAACGTTGGAAATAGCTTTCTGACATCCTCCGTATGCAGCAAACAGTATCGAGTTTTCTGCAACGTTTGCAACTAGCGCAGGCACTGTCCCTGCATATAATCCACGTCTTATCCCGTCTGTTTTTAACGTTTGCAAAAAGCAACTTACCATTCCTTTATACATGGAAGGAAACGTTTGCATTTTAACTTTAACTGTGTCTAACGGTTGTCCGACATAGACAAGTGCCATCCCCCCTATAAATATAAAGGATAGCAGGGAATCAATTAAATTTGATAAACAGCATAATACTCTTTAGAAACACCTCGCTTATTTATTAACGACCGAGAGATGGAAAGGAAAGATATTATTACCGAGTGATCCACCGATAAAGTCGATTAAGCCTGCTTTTACACTTTTAAATCGTTGATTTTCCTTCTCCGTGTATTCGAGCGTCATTTTCGTACACCGTAATTCTAACAAAGTCTTCTACAAGAACAGTGCCTGAACTGTGCCAAGATGACAGCTTAACACGAGGTCTTTGCTTAAGTGCTCATTTATCTACTATCTGTTATTTGATAACGAAAGGGAGGAAAGTCTATTCGGTACTCGACGAGGTATGCTATTTTCCATTTTCGTTTCATATCTTCCTTGTTTGCACAATAAACATGCTACCACACCACTACCGAGACGCGCACGCGTATTTAGAAAAGTCTATCACACGATTTCGACATAGTAATTGTTGATCGATCATGAATGATAAAATCGAATTTCGTATATTGATGTATGCAAATGACTCGTGCAATTACTCGCTGGTTGTTGAAAAATTACGCGCACAATCAGTTCTTTGATCAAAGTGATCACTTTATATTTTATTAATTGTATATATGTATATTTGTTTCTTTTGACTTTTGAACCGGTTGTTACGAGAACATTGTCGTACGAACAGTGGCTGCACTTTGGATTATTTAATCTACTTTTTCCCTTATCGTACTGCTCGGCATCAGATGGAACGTCAACTACGAACTTGAATAATTAAAAAAGAAATATGTTTACTTCGAATAAAAAATTTGTACAAGAAAATTCAGAAATGCATTGATCAAAGAAGATTTAGAATTCGCAAGGCACAGGATAGGAAATACATTGTAAAATATAATCTACGTGTTACAGTAATCACACGACCCTAATAATATTTTTATATATTATCAATGAATGAATAATGCTACGTATAGTTGCCATAGAAACGACTTTAGTTCAGACTGATTTAAAAAAAGACGAATAAGAACAATTCCCTATTAATTGGTTCGATCGGTAGTCTGAATTAGAATTATGAATCGCAGAGATCCTTGACCTGATCGTTTACGAATTAAAGGGAATATTAAATAATTGAGATTGAGATTTACACGTTTCGTTTGGTAAATCGAGAAAGTTACTAGATCGTTGTATTCAAGAATATATATCNATACATGCATGAGAGCGATAGATACATGACGTACGCGACACAGTCTGTAGTTCCAAAACATGGATTTTCTTAGTCACATTTTCTTTTGAACGATCATCGTTCTTTAAGTTGTTCCGATAAAGGGGACCTTCAAGTTCGATCCGTGTCGTAAAATGATTATAAAATTCCGTACGATGATCGTCTTTTTTGAATTACGAAAGTAGGGAAAGTGTATATGGTGTAGTAAATCTGCCATGATAGATCCGAACGCGTCTTCGTCTTACTCGAAAAAAGTCCGAGATTGTTAGCAAAATGCGTGATTCTTGTTGCCAGGAGAGCTTTCCGAAGGTGAGCATAATCTCCGATGGAAATCGAACGATTCCACCGATTTTTGAGTTACACGATACGAAAGTAAATTCTCTCATTAAATTGGAGCGCAGCGTGCCTCTAGGAGCGCTCTGGCTCGTCTGCGCCATTAGCGTTCGGAGCATGATCGCCAAATATTTCTATTACATTGTCAAAATAACGTATTATCCCGACGATTCGGTTTCGTAGACTATTCTTTTCCATAATCCATCGTTACCCGACCTGCTGCTCTTGACTCGGAAGTGAAATGAGACAGTCGAGTAGTAGTAGTACCACGGTAATTGGAAGTTTGCATCCTCTTGAAACAATACTGTTTTTATTCACCTTCTTGTTGTCTCGTACCAAGTTCAATTCAAACATTCTTAATTTACGGGATTAAACATGTACATAAAGAATTATCAGTACCATGTGTAGAGTATATCAAAATTTACACTTTGTGATATAATTGTACTGTTGTTAGAGTTCTTTTGTACCTATACCCGTTTCAAGAACATCTACAAGTTTTAAGTTGCACAATAGAATAAGATGAGAATTCTACAAGGATAAAGATTTCTTCTGGTTTGGACTGTTTTGACTAAGCATCACTTTGTGTTTGATTCACGCAGTAAAAGTACAGACGCAGAATGGTGGTGGATTGTTTATCAATTCAAGGCTCAGCAGCTGTAATAAGGAAGCAGGAGCGACGATTGGGTGGGTTAGTGGGTGCAAAAATGCAACCAAACAATGTTGGCAGTTGTGGTGGTATGACACCTAAAGAACTCTCTGACAATGACGATCTAGCTACTTCACTCGTGCTAGACCCGTACCTTGGATTTACTACCCACAAGATGAACATTAGGTATAAATAGCTTTACAGGTTTCCAAATTCCATCAAATATACTACGTTACTTAAATGTCTGTTTATCGATTTAGGTACAGGCCATTAAAAGCAAACAAGGATGAACTTCGTAAGATTATTTGTGATTTTATTCAAACACAAAATTATGAAAGAACGTATAAAAAATTAATGGGTGGTGATTGGGGTGCAAGACTCCCGCACACGAAATCTAAACAGCAGCAAATAAATTTAGAGAAACACGTAAGTTGATATAAGAGAAATCCTGGAAACGTTCTTGCAAGACTTTGTCCGTCTAACGCTGGTCTCGTTCTTACAGATTTATAGATACTTGAAAGTTTTCGACAAAGATTCTGGATTCGCGATCGAGCCGTGCTACAGGTACAGTCTCGAGGGTCAGAAAGGTGCCAAAATTTGTGCGACCAGGAAATGGTTGAAACATGACAAAATACCGTGTCTCGTCGGGTGCATAGCGGAACTTAGTGAGAAGGTGCACTTTTTACAAATTCTGGACGTGACATTTGTACCTCCCATCACATTTTCACGTGTCTGAACTATGATTCCAGGAAGAAGCAGCGTTGTTGCACCCGGGGAAAAATGACTTTTCCGTCATGTTCAGTTGCCGGAAAAATTGTGCACAGTTATGGCTGGGCCCAGCGGCGTATATTAATCACGATTGCAGACCCAACTGCAAGGTAGATGAACCTGCACGGCCGTTTCAGTAATTTTCAAAACAGAAAGTTTAATCGTTTGACTTGCAGTTTGTGGCAACGGGGAGAGACACAGCCTGCGTTAAAGTTCTTCGCGACATCGAGGTAGGAGAAGAGATCACGTGTTTCTATGGCGAGGATTTTTTCGGCGATGGTAATTGTTATTGCGAGTGCGAAACGTGCGAGAGGAGGGGGACAGGAGCGTTCGCGAATAAGAAGTCTGGCGAAGAACTTTCTTCTGGTACTCTGCGGAACGAGTTAACTTTGACTGATTTGATCCGCCGTGTATGTACATATTTATCGATTCTTGCAGGATACCGTCTACGAGAAACAGACAATCGCATTAATCGCACGAAACACAGACAACAGCCGTTGAATCGCAATAAGCAACAAGCCGATACTGCGCTCACGGAGAGGAACGGGTTGCTGGTTGGTAATACCGCGGTCGCGCCACAGAGTCTCAGCATGAAGGAATTACGGAGGAAGGGATTGACAAAATACGATGCGGAATTGTTAATTGCACAGGGGTGTCGGTTCTCCGACATTGCTCAGCAACAGCCAACTACGAACAATGGTGAAAATGTATTGCAAACATCCCGACCTCATCCCTCAGCTATTACAAATTCGGTCTCAAGAAATCTACGGAACAAACAGTTGTGCAAATTTGACGGTGGCAACAGTCATCAGAACAATGTTAAGAACAATCACACGCTCCGATCTTCCAGGTGAAACTTTTTATTCTTTAATACGTTGTAACGTCGAGACCGTTTCGCATTTAAAAATTTTTTTTACAGGCTTCACAAAAAGACAGACTCGAAAAAGAACAAAGTTTCGGAGAGGACTAGATCTCCCTGTTTAAACGGTCCCGTACTAGCGAACATCGAGGTAGAAAATATAAGTCATCGCAAAGAAGATTCTGACAGGGTGGAAGATACAATTCTATACTCTAGATTACAAAATTCAGAAAGTAATACGAACAAAGATGTTTGCCGTGTTCAATCTCCGCTTCGCGATGTCTTGGAACAGTCCACCTGTTCTGATTTGCAAACTGAATGCGCAACCGTTAAAGACGGCAAGGGAATAAATGGCAAATTGAACGAAAAAGAAATACCTGATGTTGTAGAAATTAATTCTAATTCGGTAGATAATAATAACACTTTTATTTCTAAAAAAGAACTCTATAGTACAAATACCTGTGATTCAGTTCGTACAAGTTCCATGCCCGAAGCTCGATTACATGATTTACACGAGGTCGATGAAAACATCTCTCAAGAACATCACCCGAGGACTCGTTACGATTTGTTTTCAACCGAGAATTCCAATGGCATAAACGGTATTTGTACCGCACCCGCGATAAAGCCGAGCAGTTGTGTTGAAAGATATTTCAAACTTGAAAGGCAAGTCTCAAACGAGGAGGAGGAGAGCTACGAATCTGTGCATGAGAATTATTCTAGCAAACACAAAGAGCAAACGTCATTGGTTCATAAAACAATTTCCGCGTTCGATAAGCGTAAATCGGAAGACATGAAAGTGTGTATCGATTCGACGAATTCAACATTGGCTAAACATTTGATGGAAAGCGAGACATCCAAATTAGACAGGTTCGTATCTGACGAGCTCTCGATTGACAACGAATGTGGCGAGATGGATTTTGTGAGAGAACACACAAACACTGAGGAGAGGCGAGAAGACGATTTGTTTGGCAGAAACAATGTATACGCAGTAAACGTCGAAGCGCCCGAGATTGCAGAAACTGAAACTCTTGAACCTTTTGCCGTAGATCTGAATTCCCCGGTAAATTCTTGTAAGGAGAATAATAAAATTTTTAATACAATGGAAACTGAAACTGATTACAATTTGAGCGAAGCGTGTAATTTAGAGAATACTCGTAATTCTATTTTAAATCAACCTGTACGAAAGAACGAGGTGTCGAGGTCCCACAAAAGTAAAAAGAGACTTCAGAGCGAGAAGAGATCGTTTGAATTAAAAAAAGAACTGCAAAATGAGCGGAGAATGACCGACTGTAACACGGCACCTGCTACAAAAACTCGGAACAAGGGTGAGAAAGCCAAGAGTAGATTGACGAGAAGTCAGAAACGAGACCGGAAGAAAGTGTCTACAGCGGAAATTGGCGTGGCCGACGACGATTCGGGTATACAGGGCGACATTTACGAGTTCAGCGAGAAGGAGAGTAATCTAGAGGATATTAGAATACCGTCGATAATGCGACGCAAACAGGAGGCTCGTCACGAGCTCGCATCTCATTTACAAGAGATGCAATACGACGATGAATGCAATAAAGCTGGACCTCCAGTATTAGTTCCTCAGGAACCATGGCCACCTGCCAATTGTAATCAGAATCAGTTGTCGGATTCCGAAAGTAATGGCCGTTTGAGAGAAAATTCCGTGGATAGTCTGAAGAGGTGAATCATAAAATCTCAATTTTACATTTTTAATAGTATATCTTTGTTACCGTTTCGTTTTACAGACTGTCTGCTTTTAGTACCGATGGTGTACAAAAACCAACTCCTACTGATTGCCAGTGGCAACTTAACAATTGCCAAGTGTGTCCAACCACTCCAGAGAGAACTGGAAGATTGAAGCTTACCCTCCGCATGAAACGCTCCCCGGTTTTAGAAGACGCTGTAGAGTCGGGTACGAGTCTGAGCGAGGACAGTTACGAGCCGGAATACGAAGTGTTACGCGTGGAAGGTGTCGAAGGGAGTAGACGTAAGAAGAAACATAAAACTCGAGATCGCGAGAGGCGACGTAAGAAGCGAGAGTTGAACCTCGATCCGCCTCCACCCCCGATGAAAAGGTTGCGTTTAATTTTCGGCAACGAGACGCATACGATCGACTTTCCGCATTCTTAACAACTATAAATGGTGATTTTCAATCCCACGGAACAAATTATAAATACAGTCTAGATATTAAAAGAAAACAGATTTCTTTGTCCTATAACAACGCGGTTTATCCGATGCTTTATAACTACGAAACGTACTTTGTCGTGTTGTCAATTTGATTTACAATTACAATAATTAAATTTCCTCTTACGTTCCATTCTTTGGACAACGAAAAGTTTAGGCCTAGTAAAAGAAGCAGTAGACAATTTTCATTTACATACACGCTATTTAGTGGATATTTATCTGAACATTTATAGTTTTCTCTAAAGTAAGCCAATTCATTGCTATATATACA